CACCAAAAAATGAAAATTCTGTCATCATTTACTCACTCTCATGTGGTTCCAAACCTGTACAACATGTCTGTCTTCTGTGGGAAATTAAAGATGTCTTGAGAAATAACTCACTTTTTTCTATTAAATGGAAGACAGTGGTTACCAATGTTCTTAAAAATATCTTTGATGAATGGTAGAATGCTAGTATTAAACCTATAATCCTGTGAAAGACATTGACTGATAAGCCACAACATTCAAACCACCGGCCTAATAGTGGAAATAAAAATTAGAGAACAACCTACAATTTCCTAAATTTCAAGGTCACTTCTTAGTCCTATTTGAAGTTATCTTAACAGGAGTCAAAGGGCAGTTTTTTAAGCATATTTCATAACTTAATTGCATTCTGAAGCACAGTATAAAAAACTTAAATGAGATATTTGGAAAAAAAGAACTGTAAGAGAAGTAAAAGAATGTGTAAAAGAATTGTAAGAGAAGCTGATCATTCCAAATCTGTAGAATATTGCAGCTTTAGAGTGACCCTAATTCATTCAAGTTCCCCCAAAAGGCTAGTTGTCCATGTAAGACAACTGCAAGAGAAGACCGTATAATGTGGAGACTCTCAATGGGGAATCAGTTCAGCACTGCAGCTGGAATTGCTTGCCAGTTCAGCGCTGAACAGGGTATGGATCTGTCTTGGTACGTTTAAAGTCAGACTGAAAGCACACTCTGCAGTGACCAAGCCTCTCATCAGCAGAAAGAATCAAAAGGCCTTGCTCACCTTTGCTGATGAGCATGTTGTGCGGAGAGAGGAGAACTGGTCCAAAGTTCACTTTAGTGATAAGAGCATGTTTAATGCATTTGGGTTTGATGGGAAACATTTTGTTTGGCATTAAAATGGGGAAAGACTGAACTCGGAGTGCGTAAAGAAGTCAGTGAAAGGAGGAGGAGGAAGTGTTATGGTTTGGGGGATGTTTTCTGCAGCAGGAGTTGGGCCTCTTATTCAGCTATATGGCAGGGTGAATTCATTCAGCAACATGTGGGACCTTCCCTGCAAGCATCTTCCAATCAACCTGCAGTTTTTAAGCAAGACAATGCCCCCATCACACTGCAAAATGGATAAAGAAGTTTCTTGAAGCTAATGCCTTGTCCAAATACCCACACTTGCGGTCTTGGCCACTTGAGAGCGCGTGCGCGCGACAGGAAGTAAGTGCGCAAGACTGTCCCAGGTCTTAAAAACGGCAAAGAGCAGTGCCCTTAACGCACACTAAATCTGCACTTTTCCGCTCCGGAGCGCTATTCGAGGCTTAGTGTATCCCATCATGCATCATGTTCTGGAAATAAATCGTGAGACTTTTTGCCGAGATCTCGCGAGAGGTCACGGAAACCTTTCCAATGCAAGTTAAATATTAATATAATAATTAGATATTACATATAATTTGGTAGAAAAAAAATTGTCATGTTATAGGGACTACTGAACAGACATTTAGAAGTTGATTTTAAAATGCAAAGTATTTAAAATTAAAATTAAAATAAAGCTATGTAAACACTTGCATTTTTACAACACTATAAGTGTGTCCCATCAGGTAATGAAAAGTTCGACACACACTTGTGGTCTTCATCCTCACTTGAACACTTGGGCCAAATACAGGAAATACGTCATATAAGTGTTCAAGTGCAAAGACTGCAAGTGTGGGTATTTGGACAAGGGGTAAGTGTCACGGCAAACTCACAAACAAGATGATCCAGTTGCAGCATTTACTGAAAAATACAAAAACAAACAGAGTAAGTCCAAAAACAGAATCAAGAAACACGTAACAGTAAAACAATCAACCAGCAACTAAGGACACAGAAAAGCAAGCTTATATGAGGATGAGTTAACAAGATAATGAGACACGGCTGAATGTAATGAGACTAGAATGTCAAAGCAAAGGGTGATGGGAACTGAAGTCCAGAGAACCAAAACAAAACTACAAAGTGTGCCCTCTAGTGACTATAAGGGGCACACCAACTAGACTCTGTGACATTAACCCCCCTCTACGGAGCGGATACCAGACGCTCCACGAAAAGTCAATGAAATCCAGGAGGGACGCGGAACGGAGGTGGACCAGGGTGAGGGATGGCGGGCCAGGCCTATGTAGAGGCCCAGAAACAGAGGTAAGCTAGATGGCCAGGGCGGAGCCGGCAAGGCAGGAGGCTAAGGCGGGGCCGACAGAGCAGGAGGCCAGGGCAGAGCCGGCAAGGCAGGAGGCCGGGGGGGGCCGGCAGAGCAGGAAGCCAGGGCGGGGCTGGCAGATCAGGAGGCCAGGGCGTGGCCGGCAGAGCAGGAAGCCGGGGGTGGCAGAGCAGGAGGCCAGGGGTGGGGCCGGAGGGACAGACCAGCGAGGCTCTGGCTGAACAACAACAACCCCGGCGGATGACCAGGGCAGTACCAGGAGCTTGGCAAACTGTAAAGGCAGAACTGATGACCACCTCAACGGAGCTGACAGGGTCGATGAACCTCCTAGCAACTCAGGTAGTACTGCAAAGATAAGCATGGAGATGTTAGTAACAGCCTTGACGACTGTAATGGGACAGGGAGACAGTTCAACCACAGTCTCCTTGGCCATGACAAGGCAGGCTGAGAGTTCCGGAATGTACAGAGGGGAGCTGAAGCAGATGCCGCCGCCTCGAGGGGCTCCACAGCAGAACCCACCACCTCGGGTTCTGAAGTGAATTCTGAAGACTCATGGACTGGAGCGGGCTCTGGATTGGATTCTGAGGGCTCCTGGACTGGAGTAAGTTCATGAGTGGACTCAGAAGGCTCACAGACTGGAGCGGGTTCTGGAATGGACTCTGAAAACTCCTGGACTGGAGTGAGTTAATGAGTGAATTCTGAAAACTCACAGACTGGAGCGGACTCTGGAGTGAACTCTGAGGGCTCACGGACTGAAGCAGACTCTGGAGTGGACTCTGAGAGCTCACGGACTGGAGCGGGCTCTGGAGTGAATTCTGAGAGTTCCTGGACTGGAGTGAATTCTAGAGTGGACTCGGAAGACTGACAGACTGGAGTGGGCTCTGGAGTGGACTCTGAGGACTCACGGACTGGAGCAGACTCTGGAGTGGACTCTGAAAGTTTCTACACTGGAACAAGTTCATGAGTGGACTCTGAGTGCTCACGGACTGGAGCGGACTCTTGAGTGGACTCTGAAGGCTCCTGGACCGGAGTAAGTACATGAGTGGACTCTGAAGACTCCCAGACTGGAGCGGGCTCTGGGCCAACAAAGCAGGAAGCTTACGTGGGACCAGCAAAACAGAGTTTAGGTGGGGCCGGCAGGGCAAAGAGCTTGGTAGGAGCTGGCAAGGCAAGGAGCCTGGGTGGAGCCGACAGAGCAAGGATCATAGGTGGAGCCTACCGGGCAAGGATCCTGGGAGGAGCTGGCAGGGCAAGGATCATGGGAGAGACAAAAAGACTGGACTGCTCAGTAACTTCTGGAACCACCAGGGTCGGGTCCTCCAGGACCACCGGAGACTGGTTCTCCAGGACCATCGGACTCGAGACCACCAGAGTCGGGTCATCCAGGACCACCGAACTTAAGACCACCTGAGTCGGGTCCTCCAGGACCACCGGACTCGAGACCACCGGAGTCGGGTCCTCCAAGACCACCGGACTCTGGACCACCGGAGTCGGGTCCTCCAGGACCATCTGACTTAAGGTCACCAGAGTCGACTTTGCTGCCCTCCTCCTTCTCTTCCTCCGCTTAAGCGTGGGAATAGATGACTGGTTCTAGGCTTGATTAGACGAGTGAGGTATGAGTGGGACGATCCCTGCAGATGGATTCTGGTGATGGTGATTAATCTTACCTCTTCAAACCCGGAAGGACACGATCGCAATTCCAACACGACTGAGCCTTCAAAACATTAAGACTCTGATCCAAGACTGCATCCGGACACTTGTTCAATGGCCAAGGCAATGCAAGTATCGTACATTTAACTTAACGAAACAGAGATATAAGCTGTAGATATAAGAGTATAAGCTGTAGACCCCATTGATGGTTTCTGCTCAGGTGCTTAACTGACTCATTTTCCATAGCTGCATTCTCTGGTTCCTCTACTAACCATTTCATTCATCCACATTAACTCCCCTTTGTATGTATGCGTGAGTGCGTGTATATGTTTGTTAGACTAGTTATGTTTTAGTGTTTAGTTAAAAAAGCTTTTGTGCACAAATTGCATGAGTTTCTGATTCTGTCACTGCTTGTGGATAATGTCCCTTTAACGATCCGCTCTTGTTACATGGAACTCGAACTCAGGTTGCCTGAAAGCACTGGCTCTGACAAGACCTGACAGTTCACTTGCTTCCGAATATACCACGCTTGACAGGTGTCATTGTAATGATATAATCAATGTTATTTCATACTTTTCAGTATTTGTATTGTTCCCTTGTCATCTCCCAGAAAAGGAGGCCACAGTACAGAATGTTATAGTGGTCCAAGTTACAGAAGCCTCCAGTCAACTTACAACTCACTATAGCAGTGCTTCCAAATACAACTAGTTATCTAATAAACTTGATGAAAATTGTTGAAACTGAGAAATATCTATGTATCCATTGCCAGAGAAACCTAGGAGACAGTTCATAGATGCATGACAAATCTCAAAGTAAAAACTATTTCTTGCCTTAAAAAAAGTGATGAAATTCATGTTTTTGTATGTGCAGTAAGACTGTTGTTTAAAAGATCCTGGAGAACCTAATGTACATGAAAAATAACCCCTCTTAGTCTTGCAAAGCCAGACTCTTTTACTATTGACAAAGTTGGGTAAACATTGAATCTCTTGCAAGTTGAGTAAATTGTTTGTCTGTATGTGTGGAGTTCAGTTTCAGAAACAAAGAAATAAAAAAAATAAAATCTGTTTAAAAATATATTTAATGAAAAACAAATACTGATTCCTTCACATATACATTTGTTCAAATATTTATACTTTTTATAGGCATATGTAAATGAATAACCAAAAGCATCTTTATCAAGGTCTTCCACTTGAGAAATTCGACAAGAGCATTGGAAAGGATTCATGGCTAATCAATACTCCATCTTTACCCTCTTTTCCAGGCATTAAACAGAAGCCTGAAAGATATTACATTGGTTTTATTGTGTAAAACAGCACTTAAGATGCTCCTAACCATATTTATTTAATTTGAACTCTCAGTTTTATAGTTGCCAATCACTTTTTTACACTTTACCCTGACCACAGCATTAGTACTATTTCTACTAACTGTAATTTCAGGTCAAGCTCGTAAATCCTTTAAATTACATGAAAGCATAGCATCAATACACATTACAAATTAACCAATTATGATAAATTTGAGCAATGTCAGGCTGAATTAATCATCATGACATACATTTGTTTGACCAGTGTAATGGAAATGATTGGGAAATGATTCTGACTCCAACACCACTATTCCATCTTCACCCTCTGGATTCTCCAGGCATTGAATAGAAATCTGAAACACATTACACATTACAACACTTTAACTGCATCTAACAATATTTACTTAATTTAAATACAGTTTTTGTCATTTTGAAAGCACTTGAAGCCATGCTGTGAATATAATATGTGACATTAGTATAATATGGCCAATATGTGATATATCATGCCAGAACTGTTTATCCATGACTGTATTCACCATAGAGCATGACCTCTCATACCATATTTCTAAAATAATACAACTGAGCAAAATCAGGCTATGACTTACATTTGGTTGACTGATGGAATGAAAATAATTGTGAAATGAGTCAAACACCACTTGTCCATCTCGACCATCACAGTTGTCCACACACTGGACATGGACAATACCGGATGTTGAACTGAAAACAGGGAACACCATTTAAACGCATGACAAGACGAGGGGATGACGAGATAACATCCAATGGGGAGGGGGGCGCTCTGGAGGCCTTTAGGAACAGGGTTAAGGGACGGAAGGCCTCCATGGCGGATCTGGCAGTTCGGGGCGCCACGGTGGAGCAGGCAGACTCGGAGGCCATGGCGGATCAGGGGACTTGGGGAGCCATGGCGGATCTGGCAGCCCAGGAGGCCACGGTGGAGCAGGTAGCAAAGCAGCCTCCGAGGCCGCGGTCCCAGCCTCCACGGCTGAAGCCCTACTACCCTTCCCTAAAAAATACTTGGGGACGCTTACGGGCTCCGAGGCCCTCCATGGGTCATAACAGGGGACTGGAGCCCTCCCTGGGCTTAACTGGGGATCCGAAGCCCTCCTTGGGCTTAACTGGGGATCCGGAGCCCTCCCTGGGCTTAACTGGGGATCTGGAGCCCTCCCTGGGCTCAACTGGGGATCAGGAGCCCTCACTGGGATAGACTCGAGGATTGGGAAGCGCGTATGAGGAGCTGGCACTGGAGGGCGCTCTGGAGGAGCAGGCACAGCAAGGCGCTTTCGAGGAGCTGGCACAAAAAAAATAAAATAATAATAAATAAATAAAAATCACACGTCGGAAGTTCGCAGCGGATTATCTCGTCATCCAACCCCAGCAGGAAGTACGCACCTAGAGCGGCGTCGTGCCAGCTCACCCGGTTAGAGAGCTCAAGAAAACTCTCCACGGACCTGGAGCCCTCATTGGGCTAGACTCGGGAACTGGGAAGCGCTTACGAGGAGCTGGCACTGGAGGGCCCTCTGGAGGAGCAGGCACAGCAAGGCGCTTTCGAGGAGCTGGCACTGGAGCAAACTCAGGGGTTGGAGCAGACACTGGAGCGAGCTCTGGGGCTTGGATGAAGGCAGAGAACAGTCCTTTTCTCTTCATCCTCCTCCTTGGGTTACGGGGAAACTGGGCAGCCGGCGGGTTTGTCGTTGCGGTGACCGGCTGGCTTGCGTCAATGGCGGCCGGGTCTGGTATTCTGTCACGGTTGCACTACTGAGTGGAGATCGGCGCAAGGAACGGAGGGAGATGAGGAGTACATCAATCCAGAGAACTTTAATTACATATAGGAACCACGGAAAACTCACTTACAACAGGTAGACATGGACAATACCGGACGCTGAACTGAAAACAGGGAACACTATTTAAACACATGACAAGACGAGGGGATGACGAGACACACCTTGACTTTGTAGTGGCCGGCGGGCCTGACATCTGAGCGCTCCTGGGCTGAGGACCATGGTGGAGCTTCGGAGGACAGCGGGGAATTTGGGGTTGGGCAGGCGGTAGGAGCCGCTGGAGAGGTATGTGGAGGTTCTCGGCGTGGGGTGAGCTGGGGAGACGCGGCGAATGCATGAATGGTTTGAATACCTTACCCTACCTTAAGCTGCCAAGTATCAATGACAGATGGACACAACTCCACATGTTTCAAGCAGGTGAAATTGCAGCATGTGTTCCCTTAATTTAAAAAAAGAATATCATGATGTATATAATTAATGTAAAACTTTAGGCCAAAAATATGAAGAACAAAAGATCTCACTGTCAAGAGCAATGTAGTTCTGTGATGTTAACGTGTTTGCATTCCAAATAACTTCATTTGTGTATTTGCATTGTTTAAAGTTAAAGTTGCAAGTTAAAATCTGTTTTTAATCTTTATTTATCCTAATTAATGAAAGAGACTGGTTATTAATTATTATTGAAACCTTTACGTTACAGGGAAGAGGAAAAGTGCCGAACGTGAAATTGCTGCGTGGCTTGCCAGCATGAAGTACTGCTAGAGCCTCTGTACAACTTTTCCAGACGTTTGAAAACTAAATCAAATTGTAGATAGTATAAAAAGTTCATAATGAATGTTAAGATTAACTATTTTATATTTTGTTCTGTTCTTGTTGCCACTAGCATGCTCATCTCCATTTTATTTTCCCCGGTCGGACATCTTTGCCAGATCTATAGCTTTGGCCATTTTTTTTTTTTAGTTTTATAAACCTTTGATAGCCATACGCAATTGCAAGCTTATTTTTAGATTACATACCATTAAATGTCTTGTAGGTATGTTGCTGTTCTTGATTGTGCAGATTTGATCTTTGTAACAATATGATTCGCTTAGGTACGTTTTAAACGCAAGCCCTCAATTAATATGTCTAGAGATTTGTTGCGTAGTGCGAAGTACTCATTCTGATTGGTGGAAAAATAAGCCATTTATATGAAATGCATAAATAAACTATTTGAATAAATGTGTTGTTAATACATTACATTTTGCAGCAACATACACAGGAGGTTAACACATTATAAAAGCATTGATTACTAATATGAACAAACATTATTATATTACATAATGCTTGACAGATCAGTATTATAACATTTAATTAATTAAAAGTCTCATAAAAATGTGATTTACAGTATTTGAACACTTTTGTACCTATAAGTCATTTAAGTGACTAAACATTTTGAACAATGTATCCATTGTTTTAGAATTTGAAACCAAATTAAAAATTATACTTTTTTTAAAGGGGTCATATGATGCGATTTCAATTGAGTCAGCCACACCTACCTAAAATGGCTCGTTCTAACACGCCCCCACATACCTACGTCACTATCTGGGAAGATTTGCATAACGCCGCCCAAATGTTCACGCAAAGAAAGAAGGCGTAACTTTTATTCTCGCTGTAGTA